ACTAGGAGCAAGGACGCTACTAGGGGCTCCTGGCCTTACTACTAGGAGCAACGACGCTACTAGGGGCTCCTGGCCTTACTACTGGGAGCAATGACGCTACTAGGGGTTTCTGGCATCGCTACTAGGAACAAGAAGCTACTCTGGATGCCCCGTACCCCGATCAGGGTCACATCTTCCATATCTTCCACAGCGATCTGAGTTCCAAGCCACTGCAGCACGTAGCCAATCCAGTCCATCACTTCTATTCTCCTGCCAGTGGGGAGCATCTATGTATTTGAATGCCTGTTCTCAGGGAGGCCGCGCCTTGACCCAAAGGCACATCGCTTCGGCCAAAGACAAAACGTCATCTCTTTCTAAAGCCGCAGCCGCCCAGTCTGTTGCTGACATTTCATGGGTGCTGGCCTCAACACTTGTCAGTGTTTACATGCGTACACTGAATCTTGACACGATGGCTGACTGCTTCAAAAATCACACACCGGCCAGAGGCGTTCCTGGCTTCAATGCCACAGTGGCGTCGGGTCACCTGCACTTGCTTCGAGTCAAACAGGTCATAGTCATTTAGTCCTGCAGCTCTGGACATCTTTAGAGTTCAGAACCTAAGAGAATCAACATGTCATGGGCAAGGGAATCCTGCAAAATATGGCTATGTGCTTAGTGACAGAACCTGGAACTGCTTCAATTTGTTCCTCCTCAAGAGCTTCAGGAACTTCGCTGTCATCTGCTCCAAGTGAACGGCTTGATTCAGCTTGATGGCTCCCCTCCTGGAAGGTCAATGCCCATGACCTCCAACCCAACAGCTCGAGCGCAGCCATCGACAGCTGTGACCAAGGCGAACAGCGCACCAGCACGGCTCCAGTGACGCGGGAGCCACCTGCGACTTGCCAAGTCCTGGTGAACCGCATCAAAACAGGTGCAACAACCCAGCAACATCAGCAACCCAGTCGTGCCTAGTCAAACATATGACTAGCCACATCACATCCCTTCTGTCCCCTCTGCTGACACTACTTTACGTCGAATCGATTCGAAGTGGTCAGTGTGAGTAGGGCCAAGGGCCAGCCGTGTCCTCCACAGGTGAGTAGCGCATAGAGAAGGTGCAAGCCAAAACAGACCCTGGCTTCAAAATGCCCGACTTGAATGCGGCCTGGCGGCTGCTTCCAAGACTCAATGCAACAAAGGAAATGGAGTACCGACTCTGTCGAACAGCTGCCACAAGGCTACCTCAAGAAAGGCACTGCTGAGCAATGGGCTTCTCCGCATGGAAGGTATGGAAAGCAAATGGCACTGGGCCGCTTGTCTGGCCCGGTGGTTTCATACCCATCCGAAGGAACTTCAACGGTTCAAACGATGATCTAAAGTCCTTTAAGCTCTTGTACAGTGACATGCCGAGACATTTGTCGGAGATGGGAATCGGAAAAGGTGTCACTAAAGCAAAAACCCACGGCCTCAATATGGCTGGCGCGGGATGCAAAGCTCCCTGTGTGATCCAAGTACAGTAGCCGCACCGCGCCAAGGCTTGAAAGATCCAACCGCAGAAAGTCCTGGCGAGAAAACATGCAAAAAGGAAAACGAAACAACGAAGGGACCACTTCCCGTCCTCAATGCGGCCGCACCAACTGGTACACCACTCCTCCAAGGCTTTCTGTGTCAATGGTGCCACGTTGGGCGCCAGGGAACGGATCTTCCGCTGCTGCAGGGCTCGGCAGGTGTTTCCCTCGCAGCCATCCAGGATCAGGGCAATGTCCTAGGAGAAGACGGGTTCTGCTCTTTCAATCTTCGCATCATTGTGGCATATTGTGCAGCTGGGCACACGCTGACAGTCACTTTCTGCAAGTGTACATACAGACATTTTTCTAATGTACGTACAGTTGGCCGTTAAATTGATTCATGTGTGCATGTGTGTCCATAGATGTATATATATATATATTGTTGTACAGTATGCAAATGTGTGTGTGTGTGTGGGTGGGCCAGTGCCTTGGACTGTGCCTCGGCCGCAATTGCAACATAAGTGGCGGACCCACATTTGCAGGAAGATGCTGCCTTTCAGCTGCTGTTTGCTTGCGTCTCAGTGGTGCCGGCCCAAACCCCAAAAAGCATCAAAAAGCGTCACTTGCCAAATGCTCGTGGTACCAATCATTTACCAATCTTTTGCTTGGGGCGAGAAGAGTTGAGCGGCTCGAAGTTTATGCAAACATCTCGATGCTGCCATGAAGCGCTGCCACTAGACATTTGTTCAATGAATGTCCACTGTAATCACCACAACTATCCACAACTGATTTCATAGCAACGCCCCGCCTCCACGACAAGCGCATTCAGGCGATGCTTCGTCTTAGCTGCACGCAGTGCACGAGGCCAACCTACTTTTTTCAGAGTTTGTGCGGTTGGTTGGGGGAGAGCTGCAGATCTCAAACGCTACATACGGTCCAAAAGTATCTCTCTTGTCAAGGACTTTATCTTTCCAAGCTGAACATGTCTCCTCTACACAGGTGACTGAGCCAGCCTTCCCATTGCTTGAACTTCTACTATCTTCTACTGAGGAATGCAAGGATCGAAGTCTGCTGTATGTCAAATCTACTCTCCCACTGCCTTGAGTTTTGTCTCTTCGATTGAAACGATCAGCCTCAAGCGAGTGCTGTCCAGTGTGCACTGGCAAGCAGGAGCCACCAACCATGCCTACTTTCTGGGATCTATATACTACGCCTTTCTTCCAAGCCAGAAGGAAAAAACTGCGAAGTCTATTCTTCGCCAGGCATAGGTCCAACAACCCTCCAAGAATGGTTGCCTGCCTCTTGTCCCAACAAGGGCTCAAGACTGGACGACAAAACACTGTTCGATTCCGCGCTTCGATTTGACAGGCCCCCAACCCGCGGCAGTGCGGATCTTTGAGGTGCTTGGCGCTCATCACGCGCAGCCCAAGCACGAAGCTCCGTGAGATACCTAGCACGCAAAAAAGTCATTGATTGGCTTGACTCTGGTGAGATCTCAAAGAAAAGAACTCAGAAAAGGTAAAGATGTTGAGAGGGACAGGTATCCTTCTTATCTCAGCCCCAAGGAAGTTGCAGAGTCAGTCTTCGCCAAGGCACACCGACTCCAGTGACAAGGCTCTTCGCTGCCAAGCTTTGGTGGGTGCGCAAGAGCCAAGGCTTCCGCGAGGTGGCACCCACTGAACAGCAGTTCCTGAAGTGCTGGAGGCACCCATTGGTAGGGGTAAAGTATGACCATTGGCAACGCTCTGTCCAGGTCTTCTTCGCAAGTGTTCTGCGTGAATCCGTTTGCACTCGCCTTCCTCAGCCTCGAACAAGGGTTGCCCATCCACATCATTCAGCGTCACGTTCAACCCCCATGGATGAAGCAAGCAAAGCCAGTTGCCTAAGCCACAAATGCCACAAAGACTGTTTTGCTTGTGGTTGCGTCACTGTCTGACAAGCGATGTTCCCCCCCGCTCCAGTTTCACCAACCAAGTGTCCAACACGAAAAGCCACGAAGCGCTTCTTCGGCTTAAGGACAAAGGGAAGCCTGCAGCCGCTGCTGCACTTGGTCGCCACTCTGGGCTGCCAGCACTGAACTCCGAAACAGGAAACCAAAGCCCGAAACAGGCAATCAGTCAGCCAGCAATCGTTGAAAAAGGCCTCGAAGTCATGAAAGGAATGTCCTTCAAATTCGGTTGAGAACACTCTGCACTTTCATGCCAATGCCTTGTCTTGGGCCCAACCCGACCGCTGCAACCAACAGGATTTCCAGCAACAGAGTGCCACACCTGCGATGAGGTTCTGCACAATGAGGTACACAACATCAAGCTAAAGAGACGAATTGCAAAAAGAAAACAAACCCGTGTCAAAATCACCCATGGAGGGGCGCACAATCGAGTAGGCACGCGGAGGCCTAGGACCCTCACAACAGAACAACCTCCAGCATGATCAACCCTCTAACCGCGCTTGGCAGGCCTGGACACATGCAGGTGCCAGAATGGACGCGAAGCCAAGAAACGTCCAGGAACGACGTGTTTCATGTGGACGCATGCCAACATCCGTTCTCACAAGGCATGGCCACCGGGCTGCAGTGCCACAGGCTGTGACATGACAAGAACTCTATGGCTTTCTTCGGCATTTAGGCCCTGCTCAGACTCAAGTGCCTGAGCTTTGTATGATTTGAGTATTTAGCGAGATGAACTGGCCTGAAGGGCCAGAAGATTGTCGCTTCAGGAGAGCGTACATGCGGCCTTGTGACATGCCAAGATCTAGGCTGTCAATCGTTACTGAAGCCAAATGACAAAATACGTAAATAACCTGGACGCTATCCAACCATTCACCTTCGCTTAACCGCTTAACCCGTCAGTAAACGTATTTTGGGTCTTGCAAGTGCATCACTCACCTGCCCACGCGGATCATGGAACACCGGCAACATGATTCAGTGAGGAAATGAAAAATCATTAGAATGAGAAAAAGCTACTAGCAACTAGTGCATCGCTACTAGTACCAGGGGCATTACTACTAGTATGTAGCGCGAAGCTACTAGTAACTAGCGATGCACTTGTTCTTAGTAGCGACCATGTTGTATCCAAATGGATCGTTTCTGCAGTTTCCGGAGACTTTTTACCGTGCGACAAACAGGTCTTGCCGATGCCATCCCACGCGTCGAAGCAAAGCCTTGCAGCATGGGGTTGGCAAAAAAATGGAAAGCAACTTTAGAAGAAAAAGCTGCTTCACACAGAAAACGACAGAAACACTAACCCGAGTCACACCGCCACTCCTACATTTGCTCCTTCACTTCTCACCGGAAAAAGCTCAAAGGACAAGTAGCCAGGACAATTCCAAGTTGCCAAGGTGATGCTAGCTGCATGCATGCGAGCTGCACCTGAGAACACTGCACTCCGCGCGCTTTTCACATTTCAGTCTGTTGCTATATGGAAACTACTTCAGTGGTCGAAGTGTAGTTATATTCCAATGCCAAGAGGTCAGCAGTCGGACCCTAGGCAATTCGAGAATCATCCAAAAACATCCACAAATGGAAAAGGTTCCTGTCAGACTCCAACGTGACAAAAGCAATGATGCAGACCGACGCTAAACCCACCAAATTGAATCCTTTGAACCCTTTTGCCTTTAATTGCTGTGCGGTCACGGTTGGGACTCTCGCCTTGCGGAGCCTTCTGTACCACATGAATTAAGACTCACTGCAGCTTGCCATTGAGGAGATCCACCGCCTTCTGAGCTTCCCTGTAGCGGTTCTGAAGCTTCTTGTTCCGATTCTTCTCACGGTCCACCAGTTCCTGTAACTCCTCGACACGGGTCTGGATGGCCTTCTCCTCTCTGCACCTCAAGGTCTCAAAGACCTCCGTTTCAATGGCTACCGTCTCTCGCTCCTCCGAGAGCTTCCGGATGTGCTGCAAAGTCTGTCTGGACTTTGTGGTATAACCTCCCAGCAATCTTTCCATCTTTTCCTCTAGCTTCTTCACCCTCTTCAGCTCTTTCTGTTGATTGGCATCCAGCATCTCAAACTGGTGCTTGGCCGCCTCGGTGCGCTCCTTCTTCCCCATGACCCTGGAATCCATGAAGCGCTTGGCCGATGGCAAAAACACAAATTGCTTCACCAGACCCTCTTCGAAGGCGGCCTGAACAGCTGCTTCTGCACTGATATCACCTCCTGAAGCCTGAGAGAAGGCATGAAGCTCCTCCTCAAGCATCGCAGCAGCTGACTGTAGCTCTTCCAAGCTTACATCCATCTCTGCGGGTGCCTTCTTTGGAGGTTTGGCACCCTTCACAGGGAACAGAACCGCATCACGCGTGATCATGTTCGCCATCTCCTCGTGGAGCATCCCTTCAGCCTGTTGCAACAAGTGCTGCGGGCCTGACAAAGCCTCACCAGTCGCCTGTGATGCGGAGCTCTCAAAAATCATCATCGACGTCTGGACTGGTCGAGGCAAACCCATCTTCACCGGCTGACTTTGCTTCTGCCGCTCAATCTCTAAACGTCGAAGCTCTTCCTTCTCACGACGCTTGTCGGCATCGGCTTGGTCCTCCTCCAAAGGAGCTTGTGTATCGGCCTCCTCTTCCATGAGTTCAGGCATGGAGATCTCTACCTCATTCATTGGGGCTGGCAAGGTTCCCAAGGCTGCTTGCATCTGCATCCGCTGGTTGGCCTTCCGGAGCTTCTCGGGCATCTGGTCAAGCTCTTCCTGTGCAGAAAGCTTAGTACAGAGTTCAGTGCAAACACCCAAAGCCTTGCAAACATCAAGAATTGCTGGGTTTCATGCATACTGTAAATAATCATGCATGCATGTATAAGGGCAGGCCTGCAGACCATGAGAACCGAACTGAAACACACCTCCCCTAGTCCAGTTGGGATTGAGCCACTTCAAGAAACCTTGGACTGATGCTAAGTCGGTCAAGTTATGCATGAAGAAAATCATCGCACTCCTGGTTCAAGGCCAAGCCATCACGCAGGGACTTTGGAGTTGCCCCTGGCCCCGGGGTTGAACCCGGCCCGGGTGTAGCGCCACCTCCTCTCAAGTGAGGAGTTGCGTTCAGCAGGGGGTTGGGCGTGAGTGGTCCTGGCGTCGCACCGGGCGTGGCACCTGGAGTTGCTCCGGGTGTGGCACCGCCAGCGCCCGGCTCAGGTCGGGGCGTCACACCTGCTTGCACCGACGCTTCCAGCAGCACTGGATCTGGACGTCTTGGTGTCCTCACTGGTGTTGAGCCAGGTGTGTCACCATAGCTCTGGACAAGCCCTGCAGTGGAGCTATCTGCACTCTCCGCCTGCAAAGCAGCCGCATCAGCTCCCATCTTCACAATGGCTTCCAACTCCTCATCATTGAGCTGTGGGGCTGGTAGGTTCAGCGCGGTGCGCTTGCGCAACTGCTGAGGGTCATTCAGCTTGTTGATCATTTCGATCGCCTCTGGCAGATTCTCGTCCTTGAGGCGCTTCAACTTGCGCTCATCATCCTTGCGACGGCGCTTTTCATCATCCAAACGGCTGCGATTCTCAATGGCCTGAAGCCGGACATTGGCCAAACCCATGGACACCCTGGGCGTCTCTTCTGGGCCAACCTCATGGAAGCCGACTGGTGGCTGCGCCTCAAAGGGCACCTCCTCCCCGTAGTCAATAAACTTCCGGGATTTGTACCTCCTGGCTGTGGAAATGCCTGCAGCTTTCAACTCACGCCGCTTCTGCAGCGCTGCCAAGCGCCTTGCCTCTTCAAGCTGCTTCTCCCGGGCCTTTCGTTTGGCTTTCTTGCCGCGAGTGTTGGCCAACCTCGCACGTGCCTCGGACAACATCTCTTTCTCATCCTCATCCATATCGATCGGGTCGGCTCTAGCAGGCTTTGTCTCCGGATGTGGATCAATTTCACCCGGCTTCAAGCGCCGCGGATCGTTTTCATCCATTTCATCCTTCCCCTGGGCCTGATCAAGGAGCTTCTCATAGTGCTCCAGGCATTGATAAGCTGTGCGGCCCACAATCGGGGCGATGGTGCGCCACTGGGTGGGAAAAAGCTTCGCGAGGTGTAGCAGCTTCTCTTCCTCCTCACGGGTCCACTCAGTCTTTTTGACACTGGGATCGAGCCACTCATACCATCTGGACTTGCACTGCTTGGGGCTTTTTCGGGCCAATAGAGAGGCAACACGTGGCCAGTTGTTGAGGCCATATTTCATCACAGCCGCTTTGAGCACTTCATCCTCAGAGTTCTTCCACACACCACCTTTGATCAAAATCCTCATTTTTGCCCACGGCCGAGCAGCAAAAATTCGCTACCGCGTATTGCTCTCTGCCAGGAGTCGAAAGAAAAAGATGGGACCTTGCCTACTGAGTGCATGGTCTTGCTGTATGTCAAGCATCCTGACATAAATGTCGCACAAGAATTCGCTTCATATAATTATGTATGCCAAAAATTACGGCCGTGCAAATGTGGAACTCCTGTTGGGCCAAAAGGGTTGGCGGCAATGAATCCAACTATAAAATGAACAAAAAAACATTACTTTCTTGCTAAATTGACATGCTGCAGCTACACGGTGAGAGGCCTCAAAACATGAACTCGGCTTCAGGCCCTCCACCACATGCCAACATGTCTGGGTGGAGCCTGAGTTGAAGGTCAGGTTGAAAGACTTCAGGCTTCAGGGTGGTCGGACTGTGATGGTCTCCACTTGCATGTCGTTTTGCGTACCCAAGGGGTTCCCTCAACAAAACAAGGTTTGCTTCGCTTGCAAATTGTAAGTGCACAGTGCACAGGCTTATCAACATGGATACCCTCGATGGCTTGAGTTTTTGATTGCAAACTCCACGCTACATCTTGCTCAACATGCTCCAAGTTACCATGAAGTCAGAACGCTTCTCTCCTCTGGCACCTGTCCAACTACGCAAAACCAATGCATCAAGCAGTCTCAAGCACACGGTCTCACACAAGAGCACCTCTCTGGCTTGTTTAGCTTATAATTTTCCGAAAGGACCGCATGACGGCAAGAACAACTCCTGAACTGTCCTGTTTCTGCTGCATAATCAAGTGTTGGCCAAATAGCGCTTACAGCAATTTGGCCAGTTTTAACATTTCGATTGCCAAGTTGAAACACATAATGTGGATGTGCCAACCTGGCTGTAAAATCAACTTAGTGTGATTAACTCCTACTTGCCGGCTGGCACCGAAATGCACCGAATTCGAAAAACCCCATGGATCTTCTGGGATCGGTTGATCAAAAAAACTCATTCATCGGCATCCCATGCATTCCACACTTTACCAGTGCCCGCATCAGCGAGGCCCCAGCGGATGAGCCGGCCAACTTCTCCCACCTGCTGCAAACTGTCCATGGTGTTCCAGGATGCAACAAGGCCCGATGTGGGGTCAAAAAGTAACGCTTGCAGCTGTGCATTGAACTCGTCAATGTTATGAATCTTACCCAGTATGAGCTCCTTGTCCTTTTCGGATGAAGCATTCATGCTGCGAACATCCAAGACTTCTAAGGTCTGAATAGTGGCCTTGGACAGAAGCTTCAGTGACTGAGTCATGCCCAACCGTTTGGCTTCTGCAATTTCCGCCACACACCAAGCACGGCGAAACAATTCAAACGATTTGTCCACTGCAATCACTTGCCTGCAAATTCCTGTTGTTGCGAGGTGGTACATCATGTCATCAAACTTGTTAATCTCTGAGGAACTGCTTCGGCCATCCGCATCAGAGATATTAACGCAACTGCAAGCACACACTGGATGCAGCTCATTTGTCAAGGGGTCCCGGTCATAAGGATTGCTGTGGCAAATGCTGGTATGTTGGTTCACCGCAAAAGCGCAAATCCAATATGTGTCGTCCAATCGACGGCTCTTGGCCAAGATCCCACACAAAAAGGCACAGTCTTCCTCCAGCAGCTGCGCGGCCATTTTGAAACTGCATTCCTGCAAAGCATCAGAGACAACAGCGGCCAGCATGTGTTTGAAACTGTTGCCCCAGTTGTGGGTCACCATGACTTGAGCCCTTTGAGCACCATCCCTGTTCAAGGCTGAGACTGCAAAGGCCAATTCCTCCTGGCTGGTGAGAGGGATGATCACCCTGCGGACCACATCCCTTGTCTTGTGATGTTTGGGTGTGTATGTCCAGTCAGGCATGGAAGGGAGGTGTTCCTGATAAAAATGCAGAAGGCTGCGCAAAGTCATGCCCCGCAATGAGAGCTCTTCAATTTTTGCCTTCCAGGTGGGGCTCCAGGCTGTTTCCTTTTCTGGTGCTGCTCTGTTCTGACTGGGGCATGCCCAACAGGACAACTGGCGACCGGCTTGGTAAGATGTCTGGTGTACCTTCGGCAACCTGTGGCTGCCTGATAGGAGCAGTGCGGCGAGCGCATGCCCAAGGAAATCAAGAGCCTGAAGCAAGCTGATCGCATTTACTGCATCGTTGTCAACCATAACACCCAGATTTTCACATAGAACAAAGGGAACTACCACAATCGTGAGCACGAGGCTGAAAGAGACGCCAATCGCCTGTAGAGCGGCAAACCTTCGGGCTCGTCTCAACGACTTTGCAGCTGCTGGCACGTCTTCAAGCTCCGCCTCATACAAAACCCGACGCAAGTGAAGGAAGGACCTCGCCAGGGAGCCAGCCGCCACCATGCTTGTCACCACCTTGCACAGTGAAGTGAACATTGCGATTGCCAGGGCAGCACACAAGAGTTTGTCCCATATACGGCCACAAACCACATAGATTATGCCCATTCCAAAAAAGAACACTGACGTCACGCCGGCGCCCCAAGCTTGCACCCAAAGGAGCCTGCGAACGCAGCCACTGCAGTAGTTTTGATTCGAAGCCTGCTCTAAGAGATCCATTCGAGAAGCGATGAGCCTCTCCAACAGGAATGAGCCAATCAAATAAAGAAGACCCCTACACAATGCAAAACCCATGTGCCATGAGTGGTGGTTGCCAACTGGTATGAATCCATATCTGAATCCACAAGGGGCCAAGCTCATCGAGGCCAACATGGATTCAAACCAGAGACTAATGCTATGGCCACTTGCTGACCGCACATGAGCTGAAGCTCCGGCCCTTTTTGTCAAAAAAGCCGCCGCGCAACCACATCCAAGGCTCGCCAGCATCAGCAAACAAAAGCACCATCTACTCCTTTGCAATGAGATAGGTTGGTCCTGGTAGAGGTGGTCCTCAGGGTCATCCACAGGAAACAGCAGAGCTGTAGCTGTGGCATTCACTACAAAGACCACAAAGTACCAACCCGGCCGCCATTGGTGCTGAAGCTTCAGGAAGCTGTCGATTGGACTAGACGAGCTCCACGTTCCAAAGCTCTCTTTGGAACTTTCAGAGATTAAATTTGACATGCAGCAGGATTACAGCCAAAATGGCTTCAGTCACAAAAATCAGTGGAGTCCCCGCATGCCCCACTGGTGAGCAAACAGAAGCAAACATGTTCATACTTCCAACCATCTTGGCTTTCGGCCGGGCATGGCTAGCTTCAGCCCAAACTGAACATATCATATCTGTCTTGGTTGTTTCTGGACGTGCTGCTTTCAAGTGAATCACACCGCCACATGGACTCCGAAGGACATACCTGCCCTCCGCCTCCGCATCAGCTTGCCACAATATCCTGGGTGCACATTGATAGAAGAGATATCACTGCATCACAGTGTGCTGCAGAAGTTGGTCCAATTTGGCCGCGCAGTACGCATCTGCAACTGGCTTGCACGGCTTACATTGCCAACATCAACTAGAGTCTACTAGAGTTATGTGTATCTATGGTGCTTGTTGAGGGCGGACAATGGAGTTTCGGCAGCACGCACACCACATCAGAAAGCCGAAAAAAAAATGAAAGGAAACTGGGCATCTAGTGATAGTGAGAACAAATACCTGAAGCGCGAGGACAGCTTAAACACTGTAGAATAATGCTGAACAACACGTCCGAGCGAGAAAAAAAGGTATCGTGATGTCATGTACACTGACTTGCTGCAAAGCATCAATTGGCTACTCCAAAGAACATGCTACACACTGGATCACACTGGGCCAAAATGATTGGGACATATTGGGACTACAAACGTAGAGGGCGAGCAACCTGTGCTGTCCAGGCAGAAGGTATGTAAAAGTGCTAAAGCATCAGTGGAGAAATTAACAAATGTATGAACTAAAAATGCTTGGCTTGACTCTTTGAATCTCTTTGATGCTCTTCTCAATCGTCTTCTGCACGCCATATGGGCAATCATCCGTGTCCAAACCGCATGCCATCGTCCTTTTTCGCCAGCATCAGACGAGTCGCTACAAGCTGACAGCTTTCGCCAGCGACTTGGGGGTCCGTATAGAGTCTTCAGCACCTGGACCTGCCCCACAATCCTGGCAGAAGATCCCACGTTATGCGTTGCATTCGAACGCCGATGCCTGAAGGTTGCATCACTCGGGCCAACAATCAACTGGTGTTGTGCGAGTCAATACTTACAATACAAACATCACCTGCAATCATGAGAAATTAGAACAGACGGCAGAACACGTGGCCACATACAAAGACCCAGAGGAGCTCAACAGTTGCATGAAAGTATTGGCTTCCCCTTATCTCTCTATCTGGAGCTGGAAACCGCCAAAAATTGAGCTTCTGGGTGATACCGACTACAAAAAAGAAGCTGCTTGGACGACATGAACCCTTGTCACCCATCGGCCGCAGGGTGGTGGTGCTGGCTGTTGCGGTCTTGGTGATCAAGGGCTTGCTATCCAAACAACCTCACTGCCAAAGATCCGATTCTCCCTGCCGTTGGGAACTTCTCCGTAATTTTGGTCTTGGTGCAAAACCGGTCACAAGGCTTGAAGATGCTTGAATCAGGCTAAAACGGCCATGTCTCAACCCGTGTCCAACATGCAGGGAGCCACAGCGTGCAGCGCAAATCAGTTGGGTTTGGCTGAGGCAGTGCATAGCCCCCAAAAACGGCCCCGGAAAAGGAGAGCCCCCGGGGTTGGCATGGCTGAGCCTGTGTTGGGGGTCGAGGGAGGGGCAGTTCAGCCACAGCCATCCCAAGAAATCAAAATTGTCTGCTGGCGATCAGTTGTTGGAAAACACCCCATGGTACGTTTGATGAGGCCAAGCTCTGCTGTGGGAAGTGGCCCAGAATAGTTGAGGTGTTACTTTTTGGAGTCAAGTGTTCTCCAACATTCACGAAAGCCAAAAAGGAATGAAGCCGACGTATGCGCGAGCAAGCCGACTGCGAGCGTGCTCTGGTGGTGGGACAGGTGTCTTGTGCTAGCACACCAGTC